CGGATGGACTGAACTGGCGCCCACGCGCGAACCGGGGATGATGGTGTGGCGTGCCGGGACTAGCGGGGGAGCCTAAGTACTGAGAAGAGGCCACGCCGGCAATGGGCGACCACACGCTCTGGCTGCCGCGGCACAAACACGGCACAGAGATTCCGCGAGCACTGGATCCGCGAGTCATTTTCTCTTCTTATATTTGTTTTTTTGTTTTGAGACAATCTCACTACTGCTCGCCCAGCGACTAGAGTGATAGTGCCGTGGCGGTCAAAGCCTCGCTTCACAGCTAAACCATTCAGACTCCTCGGCTCCGAGCGACTACCTCCTGCTTCAGCCTCCCCCGAGATAGCCCGGGACTACAGGCATGCACCACACTTACGCCCGGCTAATTTTTTCTATATATATAATATGTTAGTTGCCCGATTTAATGTTCCTTTCTGTTTTTAGTAGACACGGGGGTCTCGCTCTTGCGCTCAGGCTGGTCTCGACTCCTTGACCTCAAGCGATCTCGCCTCCTCGGCCTCCCTAGAGCCGCCTGGGATGCACTCACTCACACAACCCGGGGGCCGGGGTCCCCACTCACTCACACGACCCGGGGGCTGAGGTCCCAGACGCTCACACGACCCGGGGCCGGGGTCCCCACTCACTCACACGACCCGGGGGCCGAGGTCCCAGACACTCACACGACCCGGGGGCCGAGGTCCCCACTCACTCACACGACCCAGGGGCCGAGGTCCCAGACGCTCACACGACCCGGGGGCCGGGGTCCCCACTCACTCACACGACCCGGGGGCCGAGGTCCCAGATGCTCACACGACCCGGGGGCCGGACACTCGCACAACTGGGGGCCCGGGGTCCCAGACACAAACACGACCCGGGGGCCAGGGTCCCTGACGCTCACACGACCCAGGGGCCAGGGTCCCCAGACACTCACACGACCCGGGGGCCGGGGTCCCAGACGCTCACACGACCCAGGGGCCAGGGTCCCCAGACACTCACACGACCCTGGGGCCGGGGTCCCCACTCTCATGGGCCAGGGTCCCGGACATTCACACAACTGGGGGGCCGGGGTCCCAGACACTCACACGACCCGGGGTCCCCAGACACAGGCAGGACGCAGGGCCGAGCCGGACATTCACACAACTGGGGGGCCGGGGTCCCAGACACTCACACGACCCGGGGTCCCCAGACACAGGCAGGACGCAGGGCCGAGCGCAGCAGCTCCCCGGGGAGCCTGGGCAGGCCGGGCGGGGGACACAGGAGCCACAGGGGACTCCGGGCAGAGGACGGGACGTCAGGGAAAAGCTGGTGAAAAGTCGGGGCGAAGCCTGGTGACTGGCGTGTGCCGTGCCGCCTTGGCGACCCGAGCTCGACATGCTGCAGGGACAACAGGGAGGAGGCTGAGGGCCCGGGGCGGCTCTCCCCTGTCCTGGCAAGTTCTCTGAGAGTCTAAAATCTTTCTAGAGTAGATGATTTAAAACACTGTGGGTGCATCCAACCCAAAAGCCAGCCCGAACCCCGGCGTGAGTCCCCGCAGCGGACGTGGGACCTCTCTCTGGCGGCAGGGCCACCCAGGCGCCTTTGCTTTCCCGTGTTTTGCAGATTTTGCAGGAGGCCCTTCTCTGCAAAACCTCTGGGGGAAAAGCAAGCTTTCAAACGTGAAATGCTCTAAATGTCTTTTGCGAGTTCTCACCAAAGGACACGGCAGCCGGAGCCCTGAATGCAGTCCGGGGGGCGGGCGGGCGGGATGGGGGGCGCGTCCCAGCCCCTGCCCAGACGCAGGGCTGGCACGGTAGCCCCGCAGCTCTGACCGCCCGCCCGGCCCGCCCCGCAGGACCTGATCGTGCACGTGAGGGACGTCAGCCACCCCGAGGCCGAGCGCCAGAAGGCCAGCGTGCTGGCGGCTCTGCGCGGGCTGCGTCTGCCGGACGTGCTGCTGGACACCATGGTGGAGGTGCACAACAAGGTGGACCTGGTGCCCGGGTGAGTGGGGCCCACGGCTACGTCCCCCCGCGGGGGGCAGCTGCTCTGGGGTCCCCCGTGCTTGGACCCAAACAGGTGGGTCTGGGGCTCCCCCAACCGCCCCAACCCTGGTGCCCGTGGCCATTGTCACCCGTGATGTGCTGGTGGGGTGGGGTGAACCCACGGTGGTCAGTTCCCTGCCACAGCCTGTCCCAGCTGTCTTCCCGCCTTTCTGGTTGTCACCCCCATGCTCAGCTACTGTGGACAGGCCTCTCCTGTTACTGGGGTCACAGCCGGGGCACAGGCCCCGTGGGTGGGTTACTCGGGGACCTCCATCTGGCAGGTGGTCCCAGCCCCGTGGGTGACTCAGGACTCCTCTGGGCAGGTGGCCCCTGCAAGCTGGGCCCCCGTGGGCAGGTGAATTTCGGGGACCGTTCTCTCTGTGGGACGTCCCCCCCAGGCTGAGTGGGGTCTGTGGGATGTCCCCCCCTGGGCTGAGTGGGGTCTGTGGGATGTCCCCCCCCTGGGCTGAGTGGGGTCTGTGGGATGTACCGCCAGGCTGATTGGGGTCTGTGGGACGTCCCCCTCAGGCTTAGCAGGGTCTGTGGGACGTCCCCCCCTGGGCTGAGTGGGGTCTGTGGGACGTCCCCCCGGGCTGAGCGGGGTCTGTGGGACGTCCCCTTGGGCTGAGCAAGTTCTGTGGGATGCCCCCCCCCCGAGCGGGCTCTGTGGGACGTCCCCCCAGGCTGAGGGGTCTCTGTGGGACGTCCCCCCGGGCTGAGCGGGGTCTTTGGGACGTCCCCTTGGGCTGAGCAAGTTCTGTGGGATGCCCCCCCCCCGAGCGGGCTCTGTGGGACGTCCCCCCAGGCTGAGGGGTCTCTGTGGGACGTCCCCCCAGGTACAGCCCCGCTGAGTCCAGCGCCGTGGCCGTGTCTGCCCTCCTGGGCCTCGGGCTGGAGCAGCTCAAAGCTGAGCTGGAAGACGCTGTTTTGAGAGCAACCGGGAGACGGGTGCTCACCCTGCGCGTGCGGCTGGCAGGGGACCAGCTCAGGTGAGCAGGCACACCTGGCGGGAGGGTGCCTGGGGAGAGCCGAGTGTGCCAAGGACCCCAGGATGCACGGAGCAGCAGCGGGTTTATGTGCGGGCCGAGTAGTCCGTGTCCTGCTCCGCAGTGCAGAGTCCAGGGGCCTTGCCTGCACCCCTAACCCTGACCCTGCACCCCTGACCCTGTGACCTGACCCTGCACCCCTACCCTGACCCTGCAATCGCTGACTATGACCCTGCATTCTTAACCCTGACCCTGCACCCCTAACCCTGACCCGGCACCCCTAACCTTGCACCCCTGACCCCGACCCTGCACCCCTAACCCTGACACTGCACCCCTAACCCGGCACCCCTAACCCTGACACTGCACCCCTAACCCGGCACCCCTAACCATGACTCTGCACCCCTAACCCTGACAGTGACCCACGTACACTGACCCTGCGCCTGCTGACCTTGACCCTGCACCTGCTGACCATGAATCCCTAACCCTGACCCTGCACCTCTAATCCTGACAGTGCACCGCAACACTGACCCTGCATCGCCAACCCTGACATAGCACCCCAACCCTGATACTGCCCACTAACCCTGACAGTGCACCCCAACACTGACCCTGCACCCCTAACCCTGACACAGCACCCCTAACCCTGACTCTGCCCCCAACCCTGACAGTGCACCCCAACACTGACCCTGCACCGCCAACCCTGACACTGCACCCCTAACCCTGATCCTGCCCACTAACCCTGACAGTGCACCCCAACACTGACCCTGCACCCCTAACTTGACATGGCACCCCTGACCCTGACAGTGCACCCCAACACTGACCCAGCACCCTCTGTCCCTAACCTGGCTAACCATGACCCAGCACCCCTAACCCTGACCCTGCGCCCGCTGACCCTGACCTTGATGACCCTGACCCTGCACCTCCTGACCCTAAACCTAACCCACTAACCCTGACTCTGAACCCGCTGGCCCTGACCCTGCACCTCCTGACCCTAACCCTAACCCACTAACCCTGACTCTGAACCCGCTGGCCCTGACCCTGATGATCCTGACCCTGCACCTCCTGACCCTAACCCACTAACCCTGACTCTGAACCTGCTGGCCCTGACCCCGATGACCCTGACCCTGCACCTCCTGACCCTAACCCTAACCCACTAACCCTGACTCTGAACCCGCTGGCCCTGACCCTGCACCCGCTAACCCTAACCCCAATTCTGCACCCGCTAACCCTGACCCCGATCCTCCACCCGCTAACCCTGACCCTGACCCCGACCCCGACCCCGCACCCCACCAGGGAAGCCAGAGCCCGGAGCAGGGGGCCGGGGCGGGCGGGGGTTGGGACGGTCCCGCTGCCTCGGGGCCAAGCCCGCGCGCGGCTGACGGCGTCTCCGGTCCCGGCCGTGTGCCGCCACAGCTGGCTGCACCGGGAGGCCGCGGTACAAGCGGTGGACGTCGTCCCCGAGGACGGGGCGGCCGACGTCAAGGTCCTCATCAGCAACGCCGCCTACGGCAAGTTCCGGAAGCTCTTCCCAGGATGAAAGAACAGACGCCGGGCCGCCGGAACCGCATCTTTGCAGTGTCACTTGCGCGGCCGCCTCTTCTGTCTCGCTCCTCGGCGTTTCCATGGCAGCGGCCGCCCCGGACGGGTCCGGCCACCTCAGGGTGCTGGGCACGGCTCGGCCCCCCGGCGGTTTCCGTGGCGGGGTGGTGAGCCCTCGTGCCATGTTCGTGGCTCCTTCCCAGCTTGCTGGGACCCTCGGCCGTGGCAGACAAGCGGGGACGGTGGCTCCCGTCCGGCCGTGTCACAGGTCACGTGCTGTCCCCGAGGCGTTGTCGGGGAAACGCCTAGAAACCGGAGTGCCGGCGGCCCGGGACCCCCGACCACAGGGTGCAAGAGAGCCCCAACGCCGTGCGTGAGGAAGCGCCAGACGGCAGACAGAAGGCAGCGGTGGTGGCCTCACAGGCCACCCGCCGACACACGCAGGGACAGCCTCGCCCCGGGGCAGCCGGGCACACGCCCCCTGTGCGTCAACAGGGAAAATAAAGCCGCTCCCATCTTTCTGATGCGCGGGAGGTGACGTGTGGGTGCAAACCCCCCAGGGGCGGCCACAGCCCCCTCTGCAGACTCGGGTCCCCAGGCCGAGAGGGACGTCCGCCCGGCACAGCGTCCAGGGTCCCTGGGGCGTCAGGGACGTCCTGTCCCTCTCCCACGGGGGAGGGCCGGACCACGGCAGGGTGGCTGCAGGGAACGCCGAAGTCCCCTTCCCTTTGGGTACAGGGGACGGTTTGCTAGTTGATCTTTTCCCTCAGACGTGTGCCCACGACTGACCAGCGTCATTTGAGTTGTCCAAGAGTGTCAGCATGCAGGGATAGGAGAAAAAACCTCTGTGCCTCTCCGGGGCGTGCCAGTGGGGTGCGGGGACTCCTCCCACGGCAGGGTGGCAGGGTGACAAGCGTCCCTGACACATGGGGTCTGTTGGTCACCTGGCTGCCCCAGCACCTGCCCCGCCCACAGCTCTCCCGGAATCCGGGAGCCGTAACCACTGGCCCTGGACACTCGGCTTGGGAAGGTGTGGTTGGCAGAGTGACGTCTCCAGAGATGTCCACGTCCTGATCCCATGTGGTAGACAGAATAAGGTCCCCAGAGATGTCCATGTCCTAATCTCATGTGGTAGACAGAATAATGTCCCCAGAGATGTCCACGTCCTGATCCCATGTGGTAGACAGAATAATGTCTCCAGAGATGTCCACGTCCTGATCCCATGTGGTAGACAGAATAATGTCTCCAGAGATGGCCACGTCCTAATCCCATGTGGTAGACAGAATAACGTCCCCAGAGATGTCCACGTCCTGATCCCATGTGGTAGACAGAATAACATCCCCAGAGATGTCCACGTCCTAATCCCATGTGGTAGACAGAATAACGTCCCCAGAGATGTCCACGTCCTAATCCCATGTGGGAGACAGAATAATGTCCCCAGAGATGTCCACGTCCTAATCCCATGTGGGAGACAGAATAATGTCCCCAGAGATGTCCACGTACTGATCCCATGTGGGAGACAGAATAACGTCCCCAGAGATGTCCACGTCCTAATCCCATGTGGGAGACAGAATAACGTCCTCAGAGATGTCCATGTCCTAATCCCATGTGGGAGACAGAATAATGTCCCCAGAGATGTCCACGTCCTCATCCCATGTGGTAGACAGAATGATGTCCCCAGAGATGTCCACGTCCTGATCCCATGTGGGAGACAGAATAACGTCCCCAGAGATGTCGACGTCCTAATCCCATGTGGGAGACAGAATAACGTCCCCAGAGATGTCCACGTCCTAATCCCATGTGGGAGACAGAATAACGTCCCCAGAGATGTC